AGCTTACACAGCCGACTAGTAGAGCCTAGATTATCACGNGAAGCGCGACCGGTGTTACGAGTCCTGATTGGACACGTAAATGGCCAATCATAAGATTGATTTATCGCTATTATAAATGGCTACCGAATAAATCAAACTTATGATTGGCCATTCGACGCCATTTTTAATATTTTTTAGTACTTTTGCGATACTGCCATAAGCCGGTTGCGCTTCTCTGATAATCTAGGACTCTACCGACTAGTAGCCTAGAGCTAAGTACAAATGTGTTGGGTTGTGTCGATGATTACGGCAATTGGAACAAAATTTGTGTCGCTGTGTGCACAAAAGTGTCTAGTGAATTTACAATTGAAAAGCACCCAATAAGATACGGCAAAATGTATTTTGCGCCGGAAGTGCGTTATCTAAGTAACATTTTTAACCAATAGTAATGAATTGCTGCTACTGCACACTGGCCTAGTTTACACCGAGCATTTGATACGCGTACTAACTAGTAACTTTCTATTAAATTTTCTTAATTTTGACGATGCATATAAACTTATACATGATATATGTATTTAATTAATCATATTAATGCATAATGTATCAGTTTAGTACATCATTCTTTAAATGCATTGTAGAAATTAAGATAATTTAATAGAAAGTTTCTAATTAGTACGCGTATTAAGTGCTCGATGTAAACTAGGCTACTGCGCATGAAATGGCACCTTAAAACGAATTGAATTCGCGCGCTATCTGGTAGTCTGATTCAGCCGGTTGCGCAATGCGCGACGCGCAATGTAAGATATGTATAATGTGTGTGATGGTGTGTGTGGCGCGTGCGCGTGCAAATCATATGCGTGTGTATGTATAATATCCATGTATTGTAATCGGCCGCCAATTCGCGAAGAATGGACGGTGCAATGAATCGTTGAAGCGGATATAGTGAATGACCGAGCGGAAGGCTCTGAATCATATCTTCGTTGTCGTCATCATTATCATCGAAAACTCGTTCGCGACCAACGGGTTGACGACGGCGAAGGAAGATACGGGTAAGCTTTGACGAGACGGCAACGATGACGATGTGCTACCCAACGCAGGCTAAACAAAATGGCCGCCCGCTGGGCGGCATTTGGCGGTACCGTTGTTTACTCGTTACTCTCGTTAGGGAAACATTCAGACCAGTTCAGACGCGAGGCGAGGTGTGCGTATTGATTCCTTGTTGCCGCGCGCGTCATTCGCCTGTATGTTCCTCGTTGCTTTACATTTCGGTGACGTGAAGTAATATATGACGTTTCGCTCGATCGTGATATTTCCACTCGGTGCCTCATTTCCGCTTCTTTTTTGTGCGTAGAACGATATCGTTGCAGTGCTGGTGATCGCTTCTTGTCACGACGACGACGACGGCGGCGCGGACTGTGATGCGGAAACGCAACGTCTTTCCATCAACACAGCCGTGCACTGCCCGAGAACGTAATCGACGTCTTGATACGCGGGATATGCTACTGATTAACAGCGAGGTCAATTTCGCGAAACTTTCAGCGAATTTGTGAACAATTTCGTGCTTAAGGTAATCATAACCTTAAAGCTTTCTTTTGAATCATCCGGTATTGCTCGTCACTGGGCGCACGTTGAATAGTGGATTGTAATTAGCGAATCCTTGCTTTACCGGTCAATCCAGTGAATCATACTAAATTAATTGAAACTTTTGATTAGCAATTGTAATGCCGGATGCATTTATTGTGTTGCTGAAACCTTTTGTCTAAGCAAAAGTTGTGAACATATGATTTGTCCTTTAGGCAGACAGAATGTCTAGCTCATATGTCGTCGAGCCGCAAGAAAGTTCTGAAAAAAAGGATGATACATTAATCATTGTTATCAACGATGATGGGGTAATATCTGTTGATCAGGCAACTCTACAAAACTTGATAAGTAAGCAATTGCAAGCAAGTTTGTAAAGATAATATGTTAAAAAGTTGGTTTAAAAAACTAATGAATAATATATTCAACATGCAATAATAAGTAATATCAAATCATTGTTTCAGTGAATCAGTCAAGCGCTAATGTTAGCGTAGTAAGAGTAGGCCAAGCTGACACAGATACTGAAAATGGAGATATAACTTTAACAGTAGATCCACCAACATTTGCTCATTCTACAGCAAGCTCAGTAAGCGCCAATGCTAGTACTGACCCAGGTGGATTGGTAGATCCTTTTATGGAGATGGATCCAGAACAGTTGGAAAGATTAGAAACAGCTCTGCAAAGTGAAGAGGCAAAGCAGATACTTGGAGAAAATGTCACTGCAATGCTTGGTACTTTATGTATTTTTTTGTTAAAGTTTTTTGCTTTATTTAAACTTATAATTGTAACAGTAAAAATGTCTTTTGTTTACATTGTTACATTGCAACTTGTGAAATTTTATCAACATAAATATATGCATCAAAGCTTGATATATTGTGCAATTGTATGTTTTTTATTTCTTTGATTTTAATTAATTTCTTTATAATTAAACAACTTTCCTATTATTAAATATATTATATTAATTATATTATACCTATTATATTATACCTATTATATTAATTCTTTTTAGATATGTTATCAATAGAAGAGCTGCAGAATACAATGAGATATAATATACAGCTGGACCATTGTTATACAAGCAGATTATCACCTAGTGATCCAATACCAAGGGATCCCTTACCAATCGTTGATGATTTGTCTGAATCCAATGATATTCAATATATACATCAACCATCTTCTCCTCGAATAACTGTTATGTCACCATCCATTAATGATGTGGACAATGTTGGAATTAAGAGCAAGAATGTTGCAAAGAATACAAATGTAATTATTGTATACACATGTAAAAAAAAAAATATATATATATATATATATATGTTTATTTTATAGTAAACATAATCTGTGATTATATGATATTCAATTGATGTTTTATAGATATCATTACAAAGTAAACAGATGAATAGACCGCGAATACGTAAAACGGCTGTTTCTACACCTACAAATATAACTGGTTTGTCTAGAGCTAATACAAGCATCATTGGGACTCCTAAATCGTCAGGACATCATTCAATGTCAAGAAATTTAACAAATATCCAACAAGGAACAAAATGTATATTTAAATTATTTCTTAATTATTTTAACTATTTTTATGTAGAGTATTAAGGGCGAAGTATCATTATAATTATATTTACAGTACAAGCCAAAAATAATAAGGAAGAAGAAGATGATGAAATTACAGAATCTACAGAGTCTTCGGAATCAGAACCACCATCTGATAACGATAACGATTCAGACTTTGGTCCTCGTAGTTCCAAGAGAAGTAATGCTAGGGCTCGAGGAGGACGAAAAGGTCTCACTACAAGGGGTGGTAGCATGACAGCTGTTCGAAAGAGAGGTCAAAATAAGCAATTGGATATGGAACAGGTGCGACGATTAGACATGGAAATGGCTGCTGCTGTTAATGCAATGAAAACTCCTGAAAAAGACGATAAATCGGGTGTGTAATTATTTGAATTAGTTCATTAGGAAATGTTTGATTTTATAATCGAAGAAAATAACGTAATTTTTCAATTATTAGAGAGATTTAGTCCTACTAAGAGTAAGAGACAAATCAAAACACTCGGTGGAAAGAAGAAGGAAGAATTGCAATTTACAGAAATGTCTCAATCTGTATCTCAAGAATCACCATCAACATATGAGAAGCCACTACAAACAACAAATCAAGTGAAAGCAAATTTAATTAATGCCAATATGATTAAGGGTGACATGATACTAACCAAACCTGGTCAAGGAAGAAGCACTCAGAAGGTTACTTTTATTCAAAAACAAGTCCCGATGAAACCGAACGAACTTAAAAATATCGGGCTTAAAAAGACTGTGTTGGTTTCTAAGGAAAAACTTATAAATCAAGCGGGCACAAAATTTTTCACGACGAAAGATGGGAAATTGTTACAACTACCACTGGTGTCTAAAACACTAAGTCCGATACAGATTTCTCCAGTGAAGGCAGTACTGACACAAGCCGTGTCACAACAATCTGTGACACAGCAACAGAATGCAAGTCAAGGCTCGCCGACAGATCAACAATCGAAAACCATTTTTTCGGTTGGCAATACGCCAATAAAATTCAAGCCTAGTGATACAAAGAGAGAAAAGAGAAAATCTGACACTGCTATAGAAATTTTGAAGGGGGATGAAAATTCTACAAAATCTATAGAGATCAAGGCGTTAGATAGTCAGTATTTCTTTACTTCGTTGCCAATTAAGGCGATCCTAAAGTCGTCTGTTTTATCGACTTAACGTGATTATTTTTTATGACATAATTAACATAATTAAAGACAACACAATTTAATAATCCTTTTCCACGATTGAAATATAGGCATCAATGTAACTCAGACTGATAGAGGTAATGTTGAGAAAGGAAAAAATTTAAGAAATTTATATCTCCGTTACCTTTTCTTAGTCCAATCTCTGGCGTCTAGAGCTATCAACCAATATGTGGGCCAATATTTATTTTGTACAAAATTTAGTTGTTGGTACAAAATGATAGCAGCCAGAGTGAATTACATGTTCAATGTTGAGTTCAGAATTAGGCTTAGATACCTAATATGAAAAATTAAATTGAATATGAAAAATTTAAGTAATTGAAAATTTGTTACACAATGTATGCGAGTGATCTCGATGTGGTAGTAAACATGAGCATATCACTACACTATTACATCAACATCGCACGTATATATACTCATGAATCGTTGGTAAAATAGCGACATTTTTGGAGTTGATCTCTAGTTTAGCATCGCCTTAAAAGCAAATCAAAGTGAGGACACATAAAGTTATAGTTTTAAAACTTTTTTTACAGATGCGAAGAAACTTAAAAAAGATAATCGAAAAGCTCCAGGTTATGTAGCAGATACTCTAGGTCCCGCGCTCTTCTCAACACCGGATATAATTCGACGTGTGGGTTCGAATAGTGATGGAAAAATTGCAGATAATGCTGCAATAGCTATGACTCCATCTACATCTTTTGCAACAATAGTATCTACAGCTGGGCCGTCAACCGGTTCTATTTCCACAGCAGTTTCATTGAATGTCGGCATCTCTGCTGATTCAAATATAATGCAGAACACTTCTAATCTTACTACTAAAAAAACAATATTTAATATTTCTGAACAGTCTGTCCAACCAGAGCCACAATTAAATTTCGATGGAAGTAATAGTATAACACCAGGAAGCGAAAACGAACAAAAATCAGAAACTAAGACACCTCTAACTGAAGAATTGCAACCATCGCTAGATACAGGTAAAATTAAATCTTATGTTAAACTGATTTTGTAATATATCGTTTTGTGAATGTTATCCAACATATTATTTATTCACTAATTAGTTTTTAAAAATATATTTATTATCTCTATATTTTGTAGAATTTTCACTATATCATTATTGTTCCATTTCCTTTTATTTTTATATAAAATAATACATAATGCTATTTTAATAAACATATTTTAACATATTTTGTATTTTTTCGTTGAATTCCTTTATTTGCTTATATTATAATTTTATTAATAAAATATTTTGTTTTTTATATTGTCAAGATATAGAATGTACAAAATATGACTGTAACATATGCATAATATATGAAATTTATATTTTATATTACTATTGTATCTCTAGCACTAAATACTGCTTTATCAGAGAATATTATTTAATTCATAGTACTATTCATATACCAACTTATTTTGCAAAGTATTTATTACTTGAAATACCTAGAAAACAGAACTTTCAGAGGATTTCTCTTTTATCCTTAAAAATTGTAAATTTGTCTTGGAATTTGTATGGGTTCCTCAAAAAATTTTTTGGAATTTAATTTTTAAATTTAAATTTTATCTTTCCAAAAACATTTTTAAATCATTTTTTCTTGATAATGTCTGTTGACAATCAATTAGCAATAAGGCATATCCGCTAGGTTCATATAAAAATAGAAGACAATATTAAAAAAAAAATAGCTCACTAATACTATACTATAGTAAGCCTTCCCTATACTATCCTAGATTTTCAATTGTAGAAAATAATAATATAATCTCTTGGAATTCTTGCCTTTTACTAATTTTCAATATATACAGTTTGTACATTGTTTTATGTTGCTTGCATTCCAATTTTAGTTGTATTTAAAAATGTTCTGATCTAACCTAGAATTTCGAATAAAAATATTTGGAAAATCTCGGAAAATTTTTTTACAATATATTTTACAAAATATTTTAATAAACATTCTGTGTTGTTTTTAAGAATATAAGTTTTACTGTCAACTTGTAAGTTCTACAGATAAAAGTATATGTATATATCTTTTTCTAGGTAATGATAAGTATTTTGCTTTTAAATTTGTCCTATTCCAGAGTTTTCTAAACTTATGTAAATTGTGATCCACTTTTTAAAACAAACATTCATGACTTATCTAACTTTAATAAATATAAAAAAATGAAGGGAGAGAGGATGAATTGATTATATTACTTTATATATTATATCACTTTACTCTTATTTTTTAATTTTTTTTGCGCGAACACAATTTTATAAATTTACTTCTTAAATATATAATAAGGGATCTGTATGAAGAATGCACTTGTTTCCTATTTCTGTTGATTATAATTTTGACGTCAACATCGACACGAGTCATTTTCAGACGTAAGGAGTTTGCTAATTGTATTTTATTTCAAAATTTGATTTTGATTTCTATTATTGTTGGAAATCCAATTTTGCATGTACAAAGTTATGAAAGAATACGCACGTTTGTACAAGTTTGTAAGTTGCACGAAATAACAAAAATATTCTAAAATTTTTTGCGATTCATTAGTAAATAGATCGCGTATTTTGGATACTCCCTATTCTTTTCTCCTCTCTCACTTTCTTTTATTTCTTAGAGTAATAATAATTAAAAGTATTTTATGCACTTGTTTAAGGTGGGATCGAAGGAGAAGAACATTTATTGGCTACTTTAGAAATGGAAGCTAACAAACACGAAGAAGAACTACTTGCTGAAGCATTATTATTACAAGAGGAACTTGGAGTCGATTTGGCCGAACATGTAAGTATATCTATATAATGTTATTTTAATGTATGTTATGTAAACTCTATATGTATCTCATATAATATTGAACGGAATCATGATAAAAAATAATGAATATATTACGAAAGTATTTTATATTTTTTATTTTGTTATAGTATTTTAATATTTTGTTTAGTTTTGTATTTGAATATCAATTTATAATTAAATATTTTCCAATGTATTATAAAATCTTGGTTAGTTCTATATGTTTAACTTAATTATTAACGATTTTTGCACAGTATTAGTGGCATAGATAATTAAATATTAAGTAAATATTATATATTTATATATGATAATTTAGTCTTTGTTCCTCTAAGCAATTTCTTCACGCAAATACAAAACTACTTATATGACGTATCATATATATTACATCTGCTATAAGATGTCTACCCAAAAATTCTTACTTTTAAAATGAAATAAATATATATTCGAGCGTTGAAGAGAAAGAAAGCGAGTTACCCCAAGGGTAATTCATACAAAAAAACTAGTTTACATGTATTGTTAACCCTAGATATACACAGTTTTTTTTTTACTACGTTGTATACACACTGGAGTCCCGGAGACTCCATTCATATTTATTACTGTAACTCTAGTAAAAATGAACATATTTCAATTAATTTTTTTTTTTTTTTTTCAATCGATAGAGAATCGACCAAGGAACAAGCCCATAATGTTTAAAAATCGATAGGATTAAGGAGCTCAAAGATATACGGGTTCAAAGAAAAAGGAAAGTTCAAAAACGCGAAAAAATCTCGATTTAGCACCAAAAAATCATATCTTTTTTGTTTATAGACCGATTTGAAAAATCCTTGAAAATTCTGAAAGGGTATACTTGAAATAGTAATAAAAAAAATTTGGCGATCCGATATTTTAATTTTTTAATAAAACTGCAAGCAGTCCCGCGGCTGCCACGCTCACTTCAACTGTTCATTGCTCGGTTGTTGAGCGACAATTGCCGCGCGACAATCAACAAGTCTTTCTACTGAGGAGATCCAAAACTTTTTTTACGTCAATATCTCAAACCCCTCCCCTTTCAATTTCAGAAATTCCAAACCGAGAAAGTTTTGCTGGAGTCCCAGTGTGTATATCTAGGGTTGAAAAGTCATAAAAGTAAAAAATTTGCATTTTTGAGATAGTGAAAAGAAAGTTTTTCAATTTCCTTTTATTATCTTAGTGTCCCTAGTCTTTGCCCTATGTAAACTGTACTATGTACTGTGAAACACACCGAACGCTCCAATTCTAATAGTTTCTTCACCAAACTAATTCTTATTGGTCAGCTATTTCGTTGTCTTTGGTCTCTGAATGCTCTAAGATTCAGACAACATAATTATTTTTAAAAAATAATTAGGATTGTATTCTTAGTGAGTTTTTCTTTCATAGTCTACACTAGGTGATCCCAGGCCACGAGTGATACCAGAATCATTGGCATCGGGTAGCATGCTTATGTCCACATTAGTATCACCAGAACAAGATTCTAAATCAGTAAAGGTAGCGCCAGCAGCACAAACAAATGTTCCAAAAGAAACAAGCAAAAAATCTTCGAAGGACAGTAAGGAGACGGTTCAAATCATTCGGGGCAATCGTGTGATTAAGTTACCACCTATTGAAGCACCTGCCACTAGAAGTAAAAGATTGCAAGCGAAAACTGAGATGCCGCAGACAAATCCCGAATCGAAAATAGAGAAACTTACGTAAGTATACTATACTATATTGTAAAATGAGAATTTGGATGTAATAACAAGTAGTTTTGCATACAATTTATCACAAGATTCCATAATCGATTACTCATACATTATTATCTTAAAATAGAAAATCTTTACATGGTTTGATAGATTATTAAATACATTCTCATACTATTTATTATCAAATATTTTAATAACATATAATGAAATACATAAAAATATGAGAATTAGTATATCAATATATGATATTTATATAAATAACATAAGTAAACATGTGATAGTAAATAATAATTTATAACAATAAAATTATTTTGTTATTTAATTCAAACAACATTAGACAATTAAAATTTATATATTAATTTTTTATTATTATTTATATTATTCAAGATATTCCATGACAACAAGACTTAAAGATAGACTTTTGAAATCACTTTGAAATAAAAATCCTAATATCAAAATATGTCCAGGTTATAATAGTTTAAATAAAAAAGTTTTTAAATTGATTGATTATACTTTGTCCACATCTTTATTACTGTGATGTATCATATCTGAATGCACGGAATTGAAACAAATTGATTGGTTTATTTTGAACTCTTTGAAAAATTATTATGATTTTAATATAATATAATAGTAAACTATTATAGTTTATTTTGGTATTAAAATTTTTATTTCAAAACAATCTCTGGAGTTTACTATTAATGGTTATCACGAGCAGTCTGAGACATTTTATATATCAATAATTGATAAATTGATATTTTATATACTTAATATATGTTACATTAATATATGTGTACAATATATATATATGTAGCGCGAGCAAACAGCGCAATGGTCTGTTGTGCCAAAGATCCCGGGTTCGAGTCCTGGTAGACCCATCAACAAATTTTCATACACTCACATCTTCTCCCCGGAAGTCTGACAAGCCACCAAAGAGTATCCTTATGCTAGATGCACACAGGACGCGGTAACGCTTGCCGCACAGCGGAAGTTGGCTAGGGAATACTGCGGTAGCCAATCAACGTCTCGCTTGCTCGGTAATAACTTCCGCCACGCGGAAAAAGTTGGATCGAGTTCAACTTTTCCGCGTGGCAGAAGTTGCCGCGGCGTTTTGTGTGTAGGATTCATATATAGTAATTTTTAGTGAAATGTGGATAGATCTCGAAATAGGAGAACCACTTTCTGCTGCCATGCCAACTTTCGTCGTGCGATAAGCATTGCCGCATCCTGTGTGCATCTAGCATTAGCCGTTAGCGGTAATTGCCGCTCTCAAATACTGCCGTTCGGAATCGGCTTTAAACTGTAGGTCCTATATGCCTGTGTACAATCAGTGTGCGCCCCACAGGCGTATGAAGAGAGTGGTAGACCCTGGCTCGATATAAGCTGTAGCGCTATCGAAGAACATATATATATATATATATATATATATTAGGATGGGCCAAACAAAACAAATTTTTAAAAATTGATTAATAATCCCCTCAAAAGTTAGCTATGGACCTTAATATGATCTGGATAAAATTTGATCGAAATTGATTGATATCTTCAAATTGCCCCTCGATCTTGCAATTAGAAAGTTTATGCATTTCTTGGATAAATGTGTAAAAATTTCAGAAAATATTTGAATTTTAATACAGTTTGGTTATTACCTGTTGTTTTTGGTTTTTATTACCTGTTTGTTGGTTTTTTGGCTGAACACGAATCCGAAATCAGAAGTATATATTTCAAAATGACATTCGAAATATATTCTTATACAGGATGTCCTGTTTTAAATAATACATTAAGATTTCTCGAAAAATATATATAGGTACTATAATATAATAATAATAATATATAATAATAGTAGATAGGAAAAATGTTTCAAACAAAAATTGTATGGTTTGGAGGAGGACATAAGAAGATATCATTGATTTTGATTTTCGGTTAAGATCAGATTAAGATCACATCGATTTTTTTACACGGAATCATATTTTTTTTACATAATGTGATTCTTCTAATTATTCTGCACACAAAAACATTAAGGTAAAGTTATCGAAAAATCAATATTTTATGAGATATTTTATATTTTATCATGCTATATTTCGTTATATAATATGAGTAATATGACATATCTCGTAAATTATTGATTTCTTAATAATGGCACCAAATATTTTTAGGCATAGAATAATGAAATAAATCGATTGATGTAAAGAAAACACCAGTTGCTTTAAAAAAAAATGTAATTTGCAAGAAATGCTTACTAATTTTAAGGTAGAGGGGCAATCTAAAGATATTAATCGATTTCGATACCTAGATCATATTGAAGTCCATATAGATAACTTTTGGAGGGTATTACTAATCGATTTTCAAGATCGGAAGAGCACACGT